GTAGCTTTGCGCGTAAATCCACAACAAACAATGATGCATAGGCGGCTGCTGAGATCGCCTACCCCTTAGATTGCCACTGTTTCACATATTCCAAATTACAGTAAAGCGAACTGTAATCGGGTGAACGTAAAAACATTAGATAATTCTACATATAGTGTACGTGGTTTGGTGAATATGGTGAAGTTATGCTGGTTCAGAGAGAGGTATCTAGATTTTACTTTGTGTGCCTAATGGAGGAGAGATGAGTTTATGTATTGCATTCCACGATTAACATGATTTTCTGTATTCATATTTGATGGACAATTTCAAGACCTAAATTAATCCAAAAGTGGTTGCTTCCCACCATCTTCCGGGGACTCTAAATGCAGTGGTCAGCTTCCCCCGATATGCTGACACTAAATCCCTATTGAACTTCCCTGAATGAAACTCTGGAACTTCCACTGAAAGGGTGTCGGGTGTCTTGTTAGGTAATATATATATTTTTTTATCCAAGATAATTTCTTATTGTCATGAATGTAACGTCTACAAACATAATTGTCCACCGCTGGGACAGCGGTAAGTCTACTGATTTACAACGTTAAAATCAGAGGTTCGATTCCACTCGGTGGCCACAGCAGATAGACCGATGCGGCTTTGCTATAGGAAAAACTAACTAACAGAATTAAATCATCTTTTTTTTCATATAATTACGTTATTTCATCTAGGAAACTAACTGGAAATGAGTAAATATTTTTATAAATTTATTTTGAACTTTAGTATGAAATAATAATGTTCTAGATTGCAGCCTTCATAAATAATATATATATATATATCATTCTTGTTTATAACGAATGCTTTTATTTAACGTACAGTTACAAATACAAGAAACACAAAAACAAACAAACTCTAGCAATAAAGTGTAAGGGCGATTAAGATGCGTTACACCACGAGTCTTACTCGAGTCAGTGCTTAATGATAGCGAGGTTAAAAAAAAGGAAAAACTCACCGATTTCGTCACTTCTGCTGCCATTCTGAGGAAAGTAAGACTAGTGTGGTCATTCATGTCAGTTGTGTAGGCTCGGTTAGTTACTCTGAACTCACCTTCCACTGCCCAGCTTCCTAAAGAAACCATACAGTGAAAATCTATATAAAGAGCCATTATCAAAGTCTGACATCATTATTTGATTTACATAAATAAATACACCTGAATTCTCATCTTCGAGCCTGTTGGAAGTACTATTGAGAGAATGAAGATGGAGAAAAGACCAACAGGCTTAGTTTAACGTGGGTGAAGTAGTCCATAACACTGTGTTCTGGTAGGTATTTGATTCAATAACAATTCTGCATCAATTTTAACACCGGTACAAATTTACAAATTCATTCCTGATGCTCAAATTTAATTGCATTTTAAAACAGATGAATGTTACCAAGAATGTTCGATCAATCATGAACGACGAACGATGAACATTCGAGTAATTTTGTCGTTTTTTAAGTCGACGAAAAGGGGGCAGCTGATTCCAATATATTCTGGAAAAATGTTCAGCCCCCCCAGTGGCACAGCGTTATGTCTGCGGACTTACAACGCTAGAATCCGTGTTTCGATACTCGTAGTGGGTAGAGCACAGATAGCCCATTGTATAGCTTTGTGCTTAATTACAAATAAACAAACAAACAAAAAGTGTTCACTTGAACGTCTATTTAAAACTGAAACCAGCAGGACCAAACGTGGCAGGCGGATTCGGAGTGGCCCGGGAGTGTCTTTATTTATATGGCATAGCCCCCTACTAAGAGGGGCTAAAACGCGTCCGGAAGGTCATCCAGACATAATGGGATTTTAGAGTTGCTTTCAAATTAGCTGAATCCGAAGCTAGCATTGGATTTTGCGTTCCTAACCTCCTCGGGATATTGGGGGGTGCCGCCATGTTTGAAAAAGTATCCATGCTCAAGTACCATAGATGGATGTTTTAACAGTTTTTGTTGTTGTTGTTTTTTTAGGGTACGTTCCTCTCCTTGGGTAGAAGTGATTTGGAGTAATAAAAGAAGCTTGGTCGGTGCATTGGAGCAGCTGTGAATCATGAGGAAGCCTTTGAACCCCAAAACGTAGGCATTTTAGGCTAGTATTGCTAATAATTGAACGGTACATAACTTTACTATAGTATGACTACCACTTCAGTATCAGCAGTTTTGACATTAAAGAAGGTTTCGGATACTTGTACTTAAGTAAGTCTCAATCGCTGTAGTCGTGAACGCAGCAAATAATTATCAACAAGTTGGGCTTTAACGGTAACTTAATAATTAATATTATATTTACATAAAAGACGTAGTTTATTTTTATTGTTGAATAATATTAACAGCTATATATGCTTACACTTAATTCAGATAATAAATTAAGCTATATAAATTACCCACCTACATTGGCGTCATTCTTGCAAAGGCGTTTTTTTTTTTTTTTTTTTTTTATACACGAGATACGTTTTCCTGAGTTCCGACTGACAATAGATGGTCTCGTTATTCTGTACTTAACGAATGTTAATATATATATATATATATATA